CTTGACCTAGTAAAGAAAATATCAAAAAAAGTTCACTCCCTAAATCAGTGGGGTTAAATACTAGTCTCACTCTCGACGAATGAGAAAAAAAGGGTGTTTTGTCAAGTTGACAGAAAGACCTTTTATTAACTTCGAGTTTCCAAACTGTTCCTCGATATCATTTCTTTCACTTACTAAATTTTGCCGTTACGAATTTCACTAACCAAGCTTGAGAAAAATTCCTCGCAGAACACCCGAGCTTAGAAAAAGGTTATCAAAAATATCTTATTTCTTTACGAGAACAAAAAATAACGATTAACCCGTTTATTTGAAAAAAGTATGTTTCGTCCGGCAAACAAGAAGAATGAGAAGAATTATTAGAAAGAAAAATTAATGAGGCTCTGCAAAAAAGGTCATAGTTCTTCTTTTCCATACTTTATCCCTTTTTTCACTAAACTAGGTACATCCAAACCAAAAAATTGCAAAAAAAACTCGAAATGCCGGGCACAATAGCCTAAGCCGAACCCAATTAAGAAATCAAAAATAGCGATCATGAGTTAATTTTAAAAAAATATTAATGATAAATTTTGATTTTGGTTGCTGCCATATTGCGGGTTTTTTGGCTTTTGTCGTGCTAGTTTTATTTCCTTTGGCTTTTGGTTATTCGGTAGAATTAGAAAAATGAAAACTAAAAATTAAAAAAGAAATTCACCAAATCGAAAGAATTAACGGGAAAGAGAAAAAAACCATCGAATTGTTAGAAGCCAAGGTGGCAGCACTAGAAAAAAAGGTTAATGGCCAAAAAGGTTAACAATTGGACAAAAAATAATATTATGATAAAGAAAAACAAAAAACTAACTAGGAAACCATTAGGAAAATTTTCTCTTAATAATCATTCGAGAGTTGAGCCAAAAGTTAAAAAAGGATTAAAGAAAAGCACTCCCTCTTACTACGATTGCTTAGCTGATTGTTCTCGTAAAGGTTTATGCGGCAAAATAACCAAATGCACTCACCATTGTAAAATAAAGGCTCCGGAATTGGCTGTTCGACGAGATCAAGAAGTTCAAAAGTTCGTGAGTGCTTATGCTCAAATGGGTGAAAGTGCCAAGAACTTGTTTGGTTTTTTCTTTGGTAATGATAGTAAAAATAACGGTAAAGTTAAAGGTTTGCGATTTAGTTAGACAGCCGAAAAAAAACTAAAAACTAGTCAAAGAAACATTAAATGGGTGGAATTTCACTCGTTAGACTAAAAAACCTTTTCTTTGCAAATTAGTTAACAAAAAACGAGCATCTTTCTTTAAATAGAGTTCAGTAGTGCGAAAATTAGAATGTCCCAGTAATTGTTGCAAACTAGCTGCATCTAAACCCGCATCGTAATGCAGAATAGAAGCAAAAGAACGACGCAGAGTATGTGGAGTAACGGTTCAGTTGAGGTTTAGTTCTTGGGATTTTTTGGCTAAATATTTTCAGATTGCCATGCGGGAGATAGTTTTTCATCTATCTTTGCTAGGATCTGATTTGGCTTTTTTGGTGAGATAAGTATTATTGAGTAAGTTGAAAACTAATCTTTGTTTATTACCTTTGCCCTGAACTAAAAAAGCTGTCTTGTTTTCGACCGGAATTTGTTGTCAAGAGAAATTAATGGCTTCGCTAACTCTTAATCCCAAGTAAGACATTAACAAAACGCATTCTAATATCTTATCATGCTTAAGAGTTAAATGAACACCAGAAGGAACTTCACAAAGAGCAGTTAATTG